CTGTTCTAAAAACACAGATTTGTGGCTATTATTGGAATTGAAAAGGTTAGAATAATCCCGAAACACACGCGATTGTTGTCATGTGGTGAATCTGGCCAATCGTGAAATGGCTTAAATATATTGAGATGGTTTTTGGTACTTATACCGCAAATATGTATTAAGGACACCAAAACCTAAAATAAAACTCCAGAAAGGTGTACAGTATGTGACCTTTAAGGTATTATAAACATTAATGTCATGGATTTCAGTGATTGAATGAAATAAAAATTGAACTTGTAAATTGTATGTAGTGCATGTATTACATTGTTTTCCAAAATGCATAGTTAAATAATCAGATTTATCAACAATCAACATCAGATACACATTGTTTTTTTGTTTTGTTTTTTTATTTGTAAAAATTGTATTGTACAATTGTGTTCTGAAATGACCACAACAGATTACTGGTTTCAGCTGTGCAAACCACAATAAAATAAATAAAATCTTAAAAATAGAAGAACCGCCCCCCCCACTGTTTAATATCAGTGTATTACAATGTTTGTTTTCAAAGCAACAGCAATGCCAGAAAACAGAATGGGCAGAAAAGGAATCTCACCAATTAATAAATATGGACAACGTGATCATAAAAAACCACTATCCGCAATACAAAGGACAAACATGATCGCATACTGCAAAAACTGATATATAGTGTATCATCATTAGCTGTACCTTATTAACCAGATACAGTGTTGGCAGATGGTAATAAGACAATGCCGGTGGGCTGCACTGAGGTTTTTTCGGCATGGGAGGGGGCAGATGTATGTGTCAGGACTGATTAGTCGAACATTTCTGTACACCCAACATGAGCATCCATTTAATCGAAAACTACATCATTAAACCTTTAAAGGACTAAGCGTTCACCTAACCGAGCACCAAGCAGGTGAGAACATAACACTATAGGAAAAGCCAAAGTAATGGGAAAAGGCAAAAGCATCTCATTTCAGATGGCCCTAATACCAGTGTATTAACATAAGGAAAATAACAATATAGTATTGATACTATGTAAATATAGAGGAACTGATAAGTAATTGTACAAGCCAGTTGTATTAATCATCAATCTAATATAAGAACTAATAGTGCATGTACCATCATAAAGTGGGACCCTGTAATCTCGTAACACCATCATATTGTGTCATCTTGTATCTTCAAATAGAAAGTCATTATAAAAAGCAGATTATGAGAAAGCCTTTGCAGCGTTGTGCTATAAATCAAAATCTAAACAGTGCCTGTTTCACGGTGTTATAAAATGAATATGGCATCCATGATGCTGTAAAGTACATGTGACGATTTAGCACATCACGCATGTCTTAATTCACACTCTGAGTGGTCTGTTCCACAAAACACTGGACCTTCCACTCATGGTTTAATGCAAAATAAATGATTATTCAAGCATAATTTGGAATCTGGAATGCAGAAAGGCATTATCCACATTGTTCCACAAACCTCTAACCAGAAATGCTGAAACGAAACGAGATTTAAAAAGACACAAAATCCTTTTAATAATTATAATAATAATCATAATACATCCCTTAAATCATGAATTCAAGACAGCCACTGTATGGACAGATACAGTATCTCATAAATAAAGTTCGCCCAGATGCTATGGGAAGTAGTACAGTCATAAAGCAGCACACCAAAGCATCTCCACAGGAAAGTGTCAGAGACGACATTTCAGTCAGGACCAGGTCATCGCTCCACAATCAGCTCCTGGTCTTGACCTTAAAAAGGTACTGTACATAAGGGTCAGACCCGACTGATCACTTCGGATAGTTTTGTACAGTATGAGACCGGCCCGAGCGACATTCCAAACCACGTGCCCCAGCCCCACCCTCCATCTCCTGCACGGGACACAATGTGCGTCATACGTCATGGAAATCATCAGTGTCTGCCATCTTTTCTCCACCTCTGAGTCTCTCTAATTTCTTTATGACCTCCGATACCACGCACACAGAAGACGTGAGGCCCACCAGGAACAGCAGATCTACACGGAGAGGATGGTGCATAAATCAGTGAGCAAATAAATAACGCATGCACATCCAAAACACAGTAAGTGACAACAGTATGTCGTCAATAAAAATTTAATTTAATAAAGAATTTTACATTTTACAATAATTTTACCAGCTCAACAAATTAAGTGAAAAGTTTGAAGGTGGACATTAATTTCAGAATTCATATTTGATAGTAAAGTTTTGCTTTAATGACAGCAGCATTTGAAAATGCAGTTAGTTTGAGTTGAGTAAAGCCTGATAAATGTTCTTTAAGACTGTGTTGTTATTGTTACTTAGAACTAAACATATTAAAAATAATTTGTGTGTGTGTTTAAAAACTTAAAAATGTGCCTTGGCAACTAACTGAAATAAAATAAGCTGAAGTGCTACAATAACTAAAATTTAGGTAAAATAAAAAAAAAAAATATATATATAAAAAAAATCATAATAATAAAATGACAAAAGCACATAACAGAATTTCTAAAATTAAAATGAAAACAAAAAATTAAAAAGATCAATAAATAGCATAATATTATATTAAAGGGGTCATATGATGCGATTTCAATTTTTCCTTTCTCTTTGAAGTGTTACAAGCTCTTGGTGCAAAGTTGCAAAGACTAAAGTTTCAAATCCAAAGAGATATTCTTAAATCCAGGCTTAAACACTAATCAAAGACAACAAAATGCAGTTTGACATTTTGAACTTTTTAAACAACACAACTCATAATGTGTTTATGAGTACTATTAAGCGGCTGTGTTATGAACATGCAAAACTGTATCGCACGCGTGCTACAGTGGTAAATTTATTCATCGCACAGAACAGTTTTTTCGTAGTACGTGCGACATATATGTCGCACTGTACAGCCCTGCCTAGCATGCCAAATATTTGGACCGGTCAGCTGACTCGACATCACGTGGTGTGAGGTGTCGTGACGAGCTACAGCCAATGAGAGAGCAAGGCATGGGTTGAGGTCACCGGAAGAAAAACAACAGCAGCAACATGGCTTAAAGAAAAGTTTGGACACTAGGGTTGGGCCGATAGACGGTCGATGGCTGATAGACATCACGATGTTGAGCCGGCATCGTGATTCCCCCCCCCATACCCCCCGCAATCCGCCGCATCCCAATACTGTGTTCGGAAAGAAAATGACGTGTAGGTGGAACCCCTAAAGGGAATAAATACGAGATGGGAGGAAAATATATTTTTCCTTGCAGTTAGGCTATACCATTGGGTAATTATACTACATATATATTTCGGACATCAGTGAGGGTGTCTGTTAGCTTAAATCAATGGCAATGAAACCGTTGCTTTAACCAATCAGATTTCGAGTTGGCAGCACCAGGGCTATCTAGCTGGCTAACGATAATGTCAGCATTTTCTCGTCTTTTGATTGGATGGTCAGTTTACTAGCTAGCAAACAGCATCACTGTAAATCATTTTATTAAAACTTAGTAAAACTTTTATTACTGTTTCTCAGGTTTAGATTTTCATTGCATTTTGAAAAAATATTTGCCTACTATATTTAGTAAATCTAAAAACAGTAGTCCTAATGACTGCGAAAAACAACCACACACCTCCTCGGCACCGGCTCTCTGAAAGACTCGTGAAGATGAAAAACCACTAGAGTATGGTAGGTTAATTTTCATTTTTGACTCTTTTATCACTTGATGCGTTGTATGCTGATGTTATTTGCACGATATAAAGCCAGGTTTAAGTTTCCGTAAGAATATCTCAGTTTCCCGAGTGGAGCTGTTCCTCCGGCCGCAGCGCCGCTGGCAGAGGCAGACCAGCAGGGAGATGAGAGTCACAGAGGTACGTTAAAACACATGTATACACTTTTCTTCATCGTCTTGTATGAATTATTTTAATGTTACTTGCTCACTTTCCTAGTAAAGCTGTGCTAACCAGTATTTTCCTCCCGCAGTGCGCTGGCAGACCGGCGGGGAGACTCGTGAAGACGAAAAGCAGTAAGAGAACATTAAATTGTTAGGTCAACTTTAAAACACGTGTAATCACCTTATTTGTTTTATACCAATGCTATCTGTAAGGTATAAATACGTTTGGGTGAATAAATGTCTGTAAGAACATCGGATGGACTGTATTTGTGTCATTTTGTTAGGTTAATGCTTCAGCTACAGATGATGTGTTGCACAATTGTTAATTGGGTTTCTTTCTTTAGTAATGGCATTCATTCTCGCTACATAAGATACCTGTCTGTTATGTAGTGCCCTGTTATACTGCATTACTGTGTAATATTTATGATTTCTATAGCCGTGGCTATAGAGATGGATTAATTCATGTAGGACGCCACTGAAGGCCTAGGTGTAAAATGCACGGCCCGCCACTGCGTTATACCATGTCTACACCGGACGTGACAGTTGTCGTGTCGCGCCGCACCGCACCGCATCAGCTAAAGTCTGTCTACACTGGACGCGACAAAGCGACCGTTGAAAATCATTTGAAATTTGTGTCAGCACGTCATAAATAGAACGCGGCATCAGTTTACTGTTGGGGATTTGTCGTGTCGCGCCGCATCCAGTGTAGACAGCATCACTGATTATAATGAGTTCTATAGACTGATCTCTATATAATGAATCTCTATTATAGATCAGTGGTTCTATAGTATTTTGTCGTGCCGCGCCGCTCACGTCTGGTGTAGACACAGTGTTAGGAATCGTTATTTGTTTTCCCTTATAAGGATTCACGCTTCGGGGACACCCCCTAACTACAACCCCACAGTCTCATTTTCATCATGCCTGTAATGCCTGATAAAGCAGATCACTACTTTACATTGTAGCAAAGTGTCATTTCTTCAGTGTTGTCACATGAAAAGATATATTTACAAATATAAAAATATTTACAAAAATGTGAGGGGTATACTCACTTCTGTGAGATACTGTATATGGAACACAAATGAAAAACAAAGCAGAACACAAATGTTCAGGAAGTCCTCATCAGACGAATATTGCCTACCTCTCTCCAGAACACAAACAATGTGCCGCAAACAATGAAGGAGGACGACACTAAGATTTTCACTATCAGACTGCGCGTGATGATGCTGTCTCGAACATTCCGTGGAGGTTTCCTGATCACGTCTCGGTCGACAGGCTCCACTCCCAAACTAAGGGAAAAAAGTAAGTTCATTCTTATTCTGACATAAGCAATGTTCAATGTTCTTATACTAAAATTGCAGTCCTGATTCAACTGCGGTGATATATCTGTTGGTAATCAGTTTATTACCTCTGGGCTGGCGGCCCATCCATAATGATGTTGATCCAAAGGATTTGCATGGCATTCAGAGGGTTGGGGAAGTTCATAAGCGTTGCCAGGGAGATGAGGGTGAGGGCAGCAATGCTCCTAAAGGAAGAGATCATCTCAACAGTATTTATAACCTGGATGAGTATCTTATTAAACATATATAAATATTTATATTTATATATTAAGTAGAAATAATATAAAATGAATCAATTTTATCTTTTTTATTAATCAAAAATCCACAAAAAAATTAGGCAACATAACTGTTTTCTACATTGATAATAAGTAATTATTCTTGAGCTGCAAATCAGCATATTAGAATGATGTCTGAAGGATCACATGACACGACTAGAAAGACTGAAGTAATGGCTGATGTAATTCAGCTTTTTTTATCATCACAGGAATAAATTACATTTTAAAATATATTAACAAAATAATTGTAATAATATTTCACAATATTACCATTTTCACTGAATTTTTCATCAAATTAATACAACCTTGATGATCATGAGACCGAAAGATCTTACCAACCCCAAACTTTGAACAGTAGTGTATTCATAGTAATCAAACTAAAGCTATAAAAACTAAAGAAATAAAAACCATGAGTTTTTGTGACTATGGAGCACCACAAAATATTTCAAAATCACATTGTTAGATATTTAGGGTTGTTTTACTTCATGATTTCAACATCACTGCCTCTGTCTATGAGTCTCCACCAGAAAAAAAATGACAAACAATGAAAAAAAAAAAAGAAGAAGAAGAAATTGAGGACACTAGATCCCTAGAAAACTCAATTTTAAGCTCTTCTAGACTAAATCTTCAGAACAACTAAAAACAGCACAACCCATCTGGTTTCACATACACCACATATAAATGTAAAAAGAAAACTTTTTCCATTTCTGATAATGGGAGCATGCCAACTCACGTGCTCAGCTGAAAGCGCACAAAGTTCTTAATGTTGTTGTAAATCCCCTTCCCTTCTTCAATAGCAGACCTAGATTGAGAAACAAAGGCTTGAGGACATGTGTAGACTCATCAGAATCCACTGGCACTTGACTCGACAGTGCGTGTGCTACAACAATCTCTAGATTATAAAACACTGCATTCTGTCAGCAATGTAACGCGGCAGTAACGTATAGAGACCTCGGTTTGTAACTATACTCTAATTACTATTTTGAAAATTATAACGCATTAAATTACTCTGTTACTAAAAAAGTAATCAAATTACAGTAACGCGTTACTAAGTAATGCGTTAATGCCCAACACTGTAGACGGCACATCAATAGTCCTCACAAGTCTGATAAAGCCAAAAAAGCCCAAGAAAGCATATGCTTACAGGATAGTTTGAAAGTCATCGTCTACCAGGATCATGTCTGCTGCTTCTTTGCAGACATCAGTGCCAGTCTGACCCATTGCCACACCGATGTCTGCTGCCTTCAGAGCCACCGCGTCATTGACACCGTCTCCCGTCATTGCGACAACGGCACCGACGTTCTGTAAGGACTGAAACCAGAAAGAGCACGCTAAGAAACATATGGTTATATGTGGAGTATGACCGGTATATGTGTATATGTGAGTATATGTGGAGTATGATCAGTTTGCTGCACTCACCTTAACTATCTTTAACTTGTGTCTAGGGCTGGCTCTGTAGAATACCACTATCTGTGGAGACAAGTTCCAAATTAATTTCATGGCACCCACTCCTCATACCAGCTCTACACACTGGTAGATACAAATGAGAAAAAGTCTTGTGTTCACAATTCAATTACTGCATGAATCTATTTAAAACTATGTTTTTACTATTACTCAAATTAAAGGTACTATAACCCTCTTGCATGCCACAGTTATAAGACTGCCTACAAAACATTTGTGGACTTGAAAACTGTCCAAACCCCAACTGTGAGTCTTTTGGATAGTAGTGCAAAGAAGACGCTTAGAGTGTATGAAAGCGTGTTCATACCCTGAGCACTATCTGAGAGAGATGCTGGAAGTCCATCTGGTCGACTTCATCTCCGGACAGAGATTGAGAACCTTTGGTATAGAGGCCCAGTCGACTTGCTGTGGTCAAGAGAGGCAACAGAATAAATATATGCGAGTAATTTAATCATTTATTTAAAAATAAGTAGATTCAGAATGTTTAATGTCCAAACTAAAAAGTAAAAAACTTATAAAAGGAATTTTTTTATTTTTATACATTTCAAACCAGTGTTATTTTAGTATCACTGAAATACTATTATAGTATGCACTAATATTTTGAAATAGTTTTTATTTTTATATTTCCTATTTTCATTTTATTTTTAAAGTTTTATTCATCTTTATTTGTTTAAGGTTTTTGTAAATGTGTCTATATAGTTTTTAATTTTTATTTCAGTTTTTGTTTTTAGATAATCAATAAATATTGCTTTGTTAACTAGTTGAAATAAAATATTTTTGTTTTGTTTCAGTAAACTATACTAACCCTTATTCAAACTAAGTAGAAAGAATTTGTATTAAAAGTGATTCATTTTCAAAAATCATTTGTTCCATTAATTGATTCAAAACTGTTGATTCAACAACATGTTCGGATTATTACTCACAAAAGCCATTTGCAATGTATTAAAATGCTTTAGTAAAAATATAGGCAAGCAAATATTATTTATACTAATAATATATTAAAGTTACTTTTTTTTTTATGCATCACTACATTGCCGTGTCTAAAAAAAGTACATATATTTCTTCCTTATGTTCATTTACATGAAAACAGTTTAAAATAGATTTTTAATTTTTAGATTTGACATTAAACATTAATGTATATTATATATGTAAAAAAATAGCAACTATTTTCCAGGCCTAAAATGTGAGTTGTTTAAGAGTTGAAAATGTCTGTAAATGATATAAATCGTTCAAGATGGAGAGACACACACTGTGACAGAAAAGGGTTAACAAGCTTGAAAGTCATACCAATTGACACTGCAGTCTCTTGTGAATCCCCTGTGATCATCTTCACCGCCACTCCAGAGCTGATCAGCGTCGCCACTGCCTCTTTCACTCCCGCTCTGGGAGGGTCGATGATGCCCACCAGCCCCAGGAAGGTAAGAGCGCCCATCTCAGATCCAGAAGCAAACGCCAGCACTGCCAGAGGACAGGACAACATCATCAGTTGCTGCCAAAATCTACTTGATCTCAATATTATTACTGTGTCCTTTATGAAATGCCTTTAATTAAAGGAAACTAACAGAGAGGAATGTCAATATGTGAAAGCACTTTTTCTGTGTCCTCAGAGACAACATAATCTTATCAAAACAAGCCAAATGACATGCAGACAGCTGTAAGCTGGGAAAGACTTGCCAGGGGCAACTAAGGAGGCACCATTAGAGCTGACAGAAAAACATCTGGGTGTCATTTCAAAGTTATGTGTGATTTGATGATGGCAGGAAAGCTGTTTGACATTAAGCCAGTCTGGGAACCCAAATGAGCTGAATGTTATGTATAGAAATTTTCAGAAATGCTCTTAAGAGTAGCATAAGCTGTAGAAGATTCAGAGTCAGAAAATTCGTAGCAAAAAAGCAGGACGTCAGAGCTTTACATAAAGAAGCTAGAAGTAACTTTCAACAAAGTATAAGCTACATTATTAAGTACTGGCAGGGGTAACACACAACACTTAAGTGTCATGAAAGACCAGCAATGTCTACCCATAATGCCACCCACAACCGCTGAATCAGCTAATTGTGCGCCTGTAATGGTAATACAGCAAGCCATATATTTGTTATTTAATACAAGAGAACTTGCTATAACAACCCCTTTGAAGGTTTAGACATCTACACATGTTGTCCTACATGTCTACAAAATCACACTGGCCCAAATTCCACTTATAGCTATATACAGTTGTGGTCAAAATTTTGCATACAATTTGCAGTATCTGCAAAATGTTAATGATTTTACCAAAATAAGAGGGATCATACAAAATGTATATTTCACATAAAAGACGTTTACATACAGTCCACAAGAGAAAACAATAGTCGAATTTATAAAAATTACCTGTTCAAATGTTTACATACGCTTGATTCTTAATACTGTGTTGTTACTTGGATGACCCACAGCTGTTTTTTTGTTGTTGTTGTTTAGTGATAGTTGTTCATGAGTCCCTTGTTTATCCTGAACAGTTAAACTACCTGCTGTTCTTCAGAAAAATCCTTCAGCTCCCACAAAATCCCTCAGTTGTCCTCAGTGTGAAATATGGATCTCAAAATCATATAGTCATTGTCGAAAAGGGTTCAAATAATACTGGATGGATACATGCTGGAAAACCAAAGAATTTGTGGGTAAACTTTTGAATCTTTATAAATTCGACTATTATTTTCTCTTGTAGACTATATGTGAAATATCTCATTCAGGTCAGTACTAAATAAAAAAACAACAACATGCATTTTGTATGATTCCTCTCATTTTGGTAAAATAATTAACATTTTGCAGATAATGCAAAGTGTATGCAAAATTTTGATCACACCTGTATATAAAGAACAGGGCCATCTCAATGCAGAAAACTGGGTTTCTTGTCCTCATATCACTCTAACACATCATTTTCACTGGAAAGTGAGTGATTTCCACCTCTTTCAATGTAATGCAGCCTTCCTGCAACTCCTAACTACGTTAGGATACCTAGCTTTTAGGTAATATATAAGCTGATACAATGTTTCAAGACTTTTGTTTCAACATCATGTATGACATTTATTAGAGAAATGAAAGTGCTGTACCTCTGAGACCTGCAGTGCCCATGTAGCTCTTCTGCTGCTGGAAGAGTTCTCTCTGCTGATGGGTCAAAGGCAGAGTGCCCCCTTTACTGTTGTAGGAAGTACAGAAGCGGATGATCTGCTCATAGGCACCCTTCACAAAGAATACGGCAGGTTTGTCCTGTCATTTAAATCAGAAGTAAGGAAAGATAATTAGTGAGTCTTTTGACTCTCAGCAAAACTTCACAGCTTATTCTGACCAAGTACTGCCCAATACTAATCAAAAGGGCTATATTATTGATAAATAAAGTGACCAGTTTTTTTTAGACGACATTTAAGGGGTTTTGTTTCCCAGTGGACTGAAAAACACTTGTGCACCCTGACACCCATAAACTGAAAGAAGCTAGACACTCAGATTGGATCTTAAGATTTCGAGAGAGCTCTTTGAGAGAGCTCAGTGTGAGCCTGAGAGTAGTGATAAATAGCCAGCCAAGAGAGAAAGCATTTGGGTGCTTTCTATCCATTTTAAGACAAGACATTTTTGAGGGGGGTTCATTTGGTGCATGTGAATCAGTAGGATCAGCGATGTGAATGCGAATTTCAACGTGCACTATTGTGCTGCTGCCAAGTAATTTTCAGCTCCAATTACAGTACCTTGCACCATCTACTCCTTCACATTTACAAAGTGTTTTCTACTATGTGGTCCAGGTTACCTGCTGGGTGCGATGGACGACGCGGACCGCCATCCACTTCTGCTCTGAGGAGAAGGGAATTTCTTCCAGACGCACAAACTCCTGCTGCAGCCCCTCCAAACCCATCTATAAAGAACAGAAAACATGTGGTCACATACTCGGCTCACTTGAATCCTTCAAAGAAAATACAGAAAGTCCAATCTAATCTCAAAGAGACCTATCAGTTCTGGCTCAATGAAATAACTCTGATAAAACAGAGTGGATAGATAAAAAAATCAGCATATGAAGAAAGGCAAGGTCAGATCAAGAAAAACAAAGTCTTTGTCGTGCCAAACCACAAACCCCTGAAATCCCGGAAGCAAGGATAGCCAAAAATGAAAATGCTGTCATCATTTACTCACACCCTGTCATTCCAAACCTATATGAGAGACTTTCTTTTTAGGAAACATAAAAGAAGATATTCTGAAGAATGTTAGTAAACAAACTGTTTTGGTTCTCATTGAAAGTCAATGGGAACCAAAACTGTTTGGTTACCAACATTCTTAAAAATATATTTTTTTGTGTTTCACAGAAAAAAAAGTCACAAGTTTTGAATGACATGAAGGTGAGTAAATGATGACAGTGTTTTCATTTTTGGGTGAACTATCCCTTTAAGCAGTGCCTGCAGCAAGTGACTATTCTGAAATGCATTTGGACTGGCCCTGTGCAATTCTGTGTAAAACACAGCAGTATTGTGGCAGTGAGTTTTGCGCAGACAAGAACCACCCACATTTTCTTCAGAAAACATAAAAATCTAGTTCTTTTTATCCTTGGATTTGCATGACATTTCTCTCAGTTTAATCCCCACGTAAACGTCCCTGTGGAGAAAATGTTATTAGAGTACCAGACGTTAACACAACCGGGACCCTCAGGGGAGATGCTGTTGCCACAGTAACCTGTTCTATGGGGTGTGAAAGCCTGTCTGCTCATCTTAATTAGCATGAGCAAGCAGAACCGATTCAAACACTCTCTGTTTGCCAAAATGAGGTGACATAAGGTGACAGACAGTACCACGCAGTCATCATTCCCACAGGCTGCTGCCTCTTGTTTGCACAGGTGGGCAGAGCCACCAGGCACGTCCAACCACATTGTTTGGGTTTAGTTATGATACAGTATTTGCATGTAGTATCACAAAAGAACAACAATTAGCAGCATACCATGCAGAACGGTAACATACTGTACCTTCATAGCCAGGGCGATGAGGGCGCCTTCGGTAGGACGGCCCATCAGGGTGTTGCTCCTGATTACTGCATCATTGCACACACAGCCAGCCTACGGGATTTCAGACACCAAAAGAAATGTGTCACACAATGACACCCGAACAGCTCTGCATTTCATTATAATCTCTGCTCAGACTCACCTCCACAATCTTGCTGATGGAGGTGTTGGAGAAACCATGCACCACCTCTCCATCCATCAAAACCTCGCCAGAATTGTTGTACCCAACGCCAGTGACCTGTAAAAGAAGCCAAACCAGGTCAAGGAGATCTTAACACCTTAAAGTCAACATGAAATGGCATTTAACTTAAGTAGCGCGATGTTTATGAGTTAAATAGGATATAAATGTAGGATGGGACTTTATTTTCTAGAAGAAATTGATTGACTCATGAAATGTGGTCTATTTACGGCAGGTATTTGGAGGTAAGGGGTGGAAAAATAAGATGTCTTGGTGATGTCAGCCAAAGGGGAAGTTCTTTCCAAGGATGTTATGACATTTTGAGGAAAGATTACAAACTTTAACAAACACACAAGGCTCAAACACTGACGCTAGATGACTTTTGACAGAGCTGTTTGCAGCCCACAGGGATGTGAAATAAAAAAGCATGATGTAATAGATTTGGGAGAAGTGACCTAGTAAGTTTAAAAAGTGAGAGACTCAATCTACTCCTCAGCTGACTGCTTTGAAGATTTATTAGAGCAGGCCGATGGCACGGCAATGAATTCAGGACTCCGCACTGATAACATCAGGCTTCTGAGACATTCCTCCTGTTCCTCAGAGAGAAACCCAGAGGCTTCTCTTCAAATCCATAGGGCTCATGAAACATCACAGCTATTAACACTTAAGATGACGTATTTCTAATGTAGTGCTGGTTTCAGGACAAATGACACCTGACAGAGCAGATTCAATGTTCAACGTTTTCTATTTTCTGTATTTGAAAATTGAATTCATTCCTGTGATGGTAAAGCAAAATTTTTAGCATTAGTACTCCAGTCTTAAGCGCCAAATGATCCTTCAGAAATCATTCTAATACGCTGATTTGCTGCTTGAGAAACATTACTTATTATTATTTCTTATTCTTATTCTTATTATCATTATCTTATTATTATTAAAAACAGTTGCACTGCTTATTATGTTTGGGAAAACTGAGATATATATATATATATATATATAGATATATATAGATATATATATATAGATATATATACACTCACTTTTGGTCAATTTAATGCACGCTTGCTAAATAGACACCATCAGTGTTTGACCCTATGCTCATGTATCTGAATGGGGGCAAATCGCTGCATTCAGGTTCCAAAGTGCAACGGAAAAATCCTCCTAGAGTGGGAGCTGGCAGGAATTACTAACTACCTGTTAATGCCAATAATTTAGAAATTCAGTGCTCAACAAGCACATATGGGTGTAGTGTTTGGGTGTCCAGATACTTTAGTCATGTACACTCTCAGAAAAAAGGTACAAAAGCTGTTACTAGGGTGGTACCTTTTGAAAAGGCACCGAACCCCCAACTGCTCCCCGGGCGCCGCAGCATTGGCTGCCCACTGCTCCGAGTGCGTGTTTGTTCACTACTCACTGCAGTGTGTGTGCACTTGGATGGGTTAAATTCAGAGCACAAATTCCAAGTATTGGACGCCACACGTCACGTCCTTTCTCCTTTTATCCTCCTGAAAGTTTTAGGGCCCTTACCTCAGCGTGCTGTCCATCAGAGGTGAACAGGTGAGTGACTGTCATCTCATTTTTAGTGAGAGTGCCTGTCTTATCAGAGCAGATCACATTACAGCAGCCTAGGGAGGAGAGGGAGGTTAATACACACAACCAAGAGATTCTGAGTTCCATTAAATTATTCATATCCGTCAAGAGAAAATGGAAATGAGGCCCAGTATTACAAGATTGAAACAAGACACCTACATAATGATATTTTCCCATATGAACACAAACAACATTTTTGTGGAGTTAAAATACACCCTTAACTATGGTAAAATGTAAATGTATAGCCTCGAGTGGTAACAGCTTTACATGTGGCTCACCTAATAAGATTTTGGAGTTGAAACTATATTTTATGTAACTAAAAGTTATGAAATCAGTAATTAAATCTATTTTCATTTATTTATTTAACAGTTTCAGTCCTGGATGTCCTGGATAAATGCCCCTTAGCATTCTTGTATTACTATCTGCAATTAGTCAAACACGAAGCTACATTCAAATATTGTTTTGTAGATAAAACTCCTCTGCAAATTGTGCCAAAACAATCCTAGTCGTGACCACGTTAACAATATACTGTAGCCACAAGGGTTTTATTCCTCTGCTTGGCGTAAGTGTTGTTTCATAATTAGTAAAGAGCCATTAATTTCATCACATTTGAAAATGGTTCTAACCATAGCAATAAAACATTTCTTAAAAATGTTAAAATGTTACTGCCACCCACAAGAACATTTGGACCGGATTTAATGCGTCTACTCTGCATTAAATTAGTGCATGTTCAGTGCGACTGTGGCTGGTCATTTGACTCTGTGGGCTGACTGATTCTCATATGACTCATTATGTAATGCCACTGAGGGGAGAAAAAACCAAAGTGACTTTTTTTGTTCTTCTGTGAGCTGTCCAACAGGAAGAAACTGCACAAGGTCTTGGTCTGAACATTAGACAAGAGGTACTTTGATAATAGATTACAAATAATTTATGGCATTCCCTTCAGTATTCAACTGATCAGTGTTTTGTAAACATTCATTCTTTCTGATAGGGTAAAAGATAGCATGAAAATTTTACATTTTATGAATGTAAATTTAGGACTATATAAGACCTTTTTAAGAACAAGTAAAGAAAATTTATGAAAAAAATTTGACAATACGTCAATGGAAAATACGTTGACAATACGTTCAAAGGAAAAAAAACTTCCAATAGATCTCAATTAGTTGTTAATTAAAAAAATTGTATTTTACAAATGGCTTGAATGCTTCAATATCTATGCTCTCAACCACCAGAACATAGAAATAACTCTTACTGTTCTGATCACACTGCAATAGTGATGAATTTTTGTCGTTTTCCAGCGCAAATGTCTAAAGATTCTTAAATCAAGACACACTTACTTGAGAAGCAAAATCACATAAGATAAGAAGTCTTGCTGATCACAATTAAGTGAGTTTATGATTAAAACAAGAACAAATATCTGTCAATGGGGTCAGAAAAATTGACTTTAATCAAAAGGAAAACAAGTTTTTATTTGCCACCGACATTTTGACATGTTTCTTCTTGTTTTAAAAATGAACTTACTTCATTTGGTTTAATTTCTCAGAAAACAAGACTTTGTATGTTTAATTTGCATCTCAAGTAAATCTATCTTAATTTAAGGAGGTTTAAATTTTTTTAATTGGAAAACAAAAAAATACTTGGGAAGATATTACTTTTTTGCAGCGCATGCAACATTTAATGCAATCACTCTAGCGTTAGCATAGAAAAATAAAAATGTTTAATAGCTTTTAGAAGGAAAGTCATTTAGCATTTTGCAAAAAAATATTTGTCACTATTCATAGTAGCCAAATTAGCCAGATAGCAATACAGGCAGGTTGCGTGCAATGCCCTCAAACTTGGATGAATAAACGTGGTTTTTGGCCACTACAGTGTACTTTGAAACCATTAGAACACAAGAGACTAATGCACACCAATGCAGTACAACGTAATATAAATAAATTTCAGTGACTTAAAAGACACTTTTGTTTACTTTTTGCAAAATAAACACTTTTCGTACTACATAAGGTCACCACATGATGTTCAATGCAAAGTCTGGGTCATGTAGAAATGTAGAACAAATGTAGAACATACTCAGTGTCTCCACTATAGGCAGTTTCTTAACGATCGCCCGTTTCTTCACCATCCTCATCACTCCCAGTGCCAAAGTCACTGTCACTACAATGGGGAGGCCTTCTGGGATAGCTGCCACAGCCAGGCTGAAGAGAAGAGCAATGATGCAAAACTTAAAAAGCCAAAACCTGCACTACGTGTCAAGTCACATGCCTCACGGTAACATCTGTCTCTTTGCTGGACTCACTGATTAAAGACATACCTGACACCTATGGTGAACATGTCTAGAATGTACTTCCCCTGAAGCCATCCGACCATCATGATCACCCCTGAAATTGGAAATATATTAGTGCCGACACAGAGAACGAATACAGGATATGACAGAACAGAAATTAGGGTTTGCATTTTTAATGAGATGGTATGCATCACTAAACTCATGAAAGTGCAATGAATGTTAATTGAACAATCTTAACAAGATGTCTACCGATTATCCCGAAGGAATAAAGGGAGAGCTGTTTTCCCAGCAAATCCATGCTTTTCTGTAATGGGGTTTTAGGAGCCTGTTTAAATAACAAATAGAAAAAAATTAAATGTGAAGCAAAGATGTTTTTTTATAATTTTTTATAATGTCAATCCCTTTGGTTTATGCTTGATTACCTCCTCTGCTTGCATCATCTTAAAAACTTCACCAAATTCAGAGTTTTCTCCAGTGCCTATGACAATGCCCTACAATTTAAAAGCAAAATTATTAAAAATGTGTGCAAATTTCATTTGTCTTATCCAAAGAAACAAATAGAAATGTCTGAATCAGAATCTCGAATCACTTTTTTTCACATTTTCTAATTATGGGAGAATTAATAAATTAATTAAATCACTAAATAAATACTATTTTAATATAATAAAATAAATAATGCATCAATATTCAATTATTTCCCACTAAATGTAAAATAAAACAACAAATTAATTAAATATCTCTGTGCTTGGACATCAGAAAAACAAACTGTGACTTGACGTTAAACTTCAGCACATTTCACACAAATCAAAACTCACTAATAACTATGCACAAACATTTAGTTTTATTTATTTATTAACGTTATTTTTGGTGGTATCTTGTGGTCCGATTCATCAAATTGCAATTACAAACATGTAATAGTACCTTGGCCTTCCCACAGGGCACCAGTGAAATGTTACCTTATTTAAACATTTATCTAAAATGCTTTCAAAATCCAGTTATACTAAAGGAAAACATAAAACAAACAAGCAAGCAGTGGGGAATATGTACAATTTTATGAATGAAGGCAATTTGAAGTATGAATTCTCTAAGGAATTCTGTGGGGGGTAGATTGGGGTGCAGGACTAGTGAAGTATGAGATGTAACTGTACCTTGGCCTTCCCACAGCGCACAAGTGTACCCATGAAGGCAATATTACTGCGGGACGTGATATCGCCATTGGTGGCAGCCGGCTGAGGGGCAGAGGTCTTAGTGCAGGGGGTGGTCTCTCCTGTCAAACTGGACTCATCAACTGACAGATCCATCGCCTGCAGGGCAGTGAAGGGTCAGCTTCACTTACAGGCCATCAGAACGTTGCAGCTATTTCAGGCACAAGCATTTCTACCACTAACTGCCATTCGATTGTGCAATCTGGTAAGTCTTTAAGCACATATTGTACTAGGATGTTTTTGACTGCAACAGTGTAATAGTAACAGTTTACATGTACATCATTTTTTACTTAAGTCCAACTCTGGAGCCTTCTAATAACACCCAAAAATACCTTTGTTTGGACATTCAGTTACAGTGAATATTCTGAATAAAGTGTTTGCTTATGGCATTAGTAAGGTAATGGTTCTACGTGATGCTTACATAATCAAAATATGATCAAATGATCAAGAATATTGATGTGCATATAAATGCAGTCACTATGTGCATAGAAGAGGAGAAAGCAAAAAGGAGCGATGTTACTATGCGTCTATATCCATTCACACCTCAAACAGGCGCAGGTCTGCTGGGACTCTCTCACCGACTGACAGACATACGGTGTCCCCAGGCACAAGCTCTCGTGCCAGAAGGTGCTCCAGACGTCCTTCTCGAACACTAGAGCATAGGGAGAGTTGGAAAGAGGGAAACAGAGATACTGCTTGTTGAACAGTTTGAAATTAGACCAGTGAAGTCGTGCGGACAGACCTTGAGATCCGTGCCCTGCGGGCTAGACAGAGGTCAGATAGTTTTGTTAATGTACCTCCAATAGTCTTGGCAATAAAAAAAATGCTTGTTGTGGGAAACTTGTTCCCGATTAGGAAGTGACAGAAAAAAGCAGGATAACACATGGTGGTGCATGCTGAGGGTGTTCTACAGGTGTTTGGGAACAGGGCTCAAGGCTGTGGCATGGCCCGGTTTTGAAGTGCAAATACCAGACTTTGTGTGTTTGAAGTGGAAATTACACCTCCCATTCTCACTCTCTCCATATATCGTCTGAAAGGCTGCCTTTTATGCATTTGGTGAGAGTAATGCTCTGGAAAATACACCTAAGACGTCAAGACCTCACACCCACTGTCCTGACATCTTTTATCATTAATGTAGTTAAGGAAAGAAAAAGAAAGAAAGAAAGAAAGAAAGGCTTCCTCATCTATTTAAGGCAAGATATAATTATAGATAATATAACTAAAAACCTATATGATGTTTAAGATTCATTTTTTAATAAACACTAAGAATTTCAGTGGAATAAAACCGTTTTCTCAGAAGATTATAAATATCACAGTCCAATAAAATGTGTTTTACAGACAGTGACACTGGCATGAGGCACATATGGTGGGATCTTCATGTGATGGTAAAAATGTATGCGTCACTAATGTATGTGTGTATTAACCAGCATCAAAAATAAATTAATTTTTTGTTCCATAAATGATTTTATTGGAACATACACTACTGTTGAAAAATTGGGGATCAGGGGAAAATTTGGTATTTTTAAGCAAATAAATACAACTTTGATGAGCATAAGAGACTTACTTTAAACACATTTAAAAAAAACTTACTGACCACAAAATTTGAATAGTAGTATATGCATTTTTCCAAAGGTAGGATTGAGTTTGTGTAATTTATTTGTTAAGCCAGATCCAATTCTAAGAGCCATTTGTTTTTGACATAGAAATCTATTAAAGTTTTCAGAGCTGTAGAAGGAAAAGTGCTTTCGAGTTTTGTCAATAATGCTCACCAATGGCATTCTGGAGGCACAAGTTTCCCCAGCTCCTCCAGGGATTTTTCTGAGCGGTATTCCTAAAATGAAGCAGAACAGAGCTGACAGTAAATGTCCTCCGCACTTACACTCTCACTACACCTCATTAATCTATGAGACTTCAAGTTCCCCAAAATATTTGGACATTAGCATTGATTCTAAGGTCTATCGCTTTACATGACTGATGTCACATCAGATAATGTCACATGAGGTCATTTCATCAATGTATGTTGGATTTACCTGTACAAAGGCAACTGTAACAACAATAATAATGGCCTGCAAAAAGAATGATGCACGAGTGTTAATGGACCAATCCAGTAATTCAAGGAAATCAAATGTCTGACAAGGGGAGTGAGCAGGAACTTACCACGGTGATACTGACGGCATCATCAAACTGACGCATCAACACACTGATGACAGCGGATGCCAGCAGCAACAGGATGAGTGGGTCTTTAAACTGGAGACCAAAAGAGAGAGAGGATAATTCAGAGACTGCATAGGGATGCAATACTTCTCAGAATTCATTGTGTCCCACATCTCAATGTGAAGGTCTGTGTTTATCTGCCTCAGGGCTTGAGGTACAAAAATCAATGTAAGCTATACATGACGGCAACAATTATTGACCTCTGTGCCATGTAGTTTGCTTTTTCAGATACCACAGACTAGAGATCGACCGATATATCGATTTACCGATATTTTTCCAGATATTTAAGCATTTTACCATAATCGGATATCGGTTTTGTAATATCGGATTCACCGATAATCACCGCCTTCTTGTGGGTGTTTTGAGAATTGCGCACAGGATCGCCATTGCAGCGCGTCTGAGGGGAGACGAGACAACAACAACGGCATGGTGCAGGTACTTGATTTGCTGTAGTTAGTAAACTTTATTTAACATAACAGCCATTTATGCACAAATTAGATGCATTACATAAATGCCTGATAAGTAGTTCATGCAGCTTGGCTCTAAGAAATAGAGACCAACTCATGGAGTCATGTAAAATAATCTGTCAAGTCCTGTCCCAATAAAGACGTAACTTTACCTGAATTAAATAATATGCAGCCATGAATAACCCATGTTGTAAATAAAAGCACTGAACTGAATTCTCTCTCTGTCTATACTCAACGTTTGTCTCGTGAAGTCGGAGTCACGTAGATAATCCGTCAAGATCCTCTCCCAATAAAGACGTAACTTTGCATGAGTTAAATAATACAGCCATGAATGAGCGCATGTTGGAAATAAAAGCGCTGAATTAGTTCTCTCTCTCTGTTGTATATTTGCTCATCATTAGTCTCGTGAAGCCGCTTTCATATTGCTGTTCACTCACCGGGTTGATATGGTTGATGCTCAGAAAATGCTCCAGCATGGCCAACGCATGTAACTTTTAACAAGATTCACTTGTTTAAAACACCCTAAATTTTATTAACATTTACTATATAACCATAATTTCGTTAATAAACATCTAAATAAATACAACTCTATGGAAATTAATTATTTATCATCTCCGCGAGCGATCGCAGTTTGAGTATAGTTCTGTGTAACTACATAGATAAACTGCGCTGTCAGCAGACATTTCATAATCTAGAAGGACAAAAACATTAATAATTCTGAAATAACATTCCAGTTGAGAAATGCAATAAAATACGATGTTTTGTTTGTTATATTCCAATATTCCAGAGAATATTATTCAGTGAATTAACATTATCCAGTGAATTATTCTTGACTCTGTAGCTATTAAACAGCTTATCAACCTACTTAAACTGTAGTTTAAAATGAAGTTGATATGACTGTCCTTTATTTATTTTCTCCATTTGAAAACATTAGACATTCTAGGCAAAAGTCAACAGGCTTTTCAAAATCCAAAATATTGCCAAACAGGCGCTTTTGCATCTCGTTTCGAAACTAAATTATCCGCGATCGTCTTATCTGTCTCACCTCACTCTTCTTGTCAGTCAGCTGGAATCACTCCTCACTGGAGAAATTAAATCTGATCTGTGATGCGACTGTCGTTCGGCACGCTGCATTGAGCAGACGTGTTCAGTTTTTAATTGTAGTGTCTGTTCTTTTACTGAACTAAATGATTTTTATTTCTATAAAAAAATC